GACACAAGGTATCAGAGTAGATAAAAAAATAAGACCCATTGATATGCTGTCTGCAAGAAACTCATTTTAAATCCAAAGACACCTCCAGGTTTAAAGTGAGGGGATGGAAAACGATTTACCATGCTAATGGATATCAAAAGAAAGCTGGGGGGGGGGGGCGCCTGGGTGGACCAGTCATCAAGTGTCTGCCTTTAGCTCAGGTCATGATCCCAGGGTCCTGGGATCGAGCCCCACACCAGACTCCCTGCTCAGCAGGAAGCCTGCTTCTCCCTCTCTCATTCCCCCTGCTTCTGTTCTCTCTCTCGCTGTGTCTCTCTCTGTCAAATAAATAAATCTTAAAAAAAAAAAAAAAAAAGGACGCCTGGGTGGCTCAGTTGGTTAAGCGACTGCCTTCGGCTCAGGTCATGATCCTGGAGTCCCGGGATCGAGTCCCACATCGGGCTCCCTGCTCAGCGGGGAGTCTGCTTCTCCCTCTGACCCTCCTCCCTCTCATGCTCTCTGTCTCTCATTCTCTCTCTCGCAAATAAAAAAAATCTTAAAAAAAAAAAAAAAAGCTAGGGTTGCAATCCTTCTATCAGACAAATTAGATTTTAAACCAAAGACTATAATAAGAGATGAGGAAGGACACTACATCATACTTAAAGGGTCTATCCAACAAGAAGATCTAACAATTGTAAATATCTATGGCACTAACATGGGAGCAGCAAATTATATGAGCCAATTAATAACAAAATCAAAGAAACACATCAACAATAACAATAATAGTAGGGAACTTTAACACCCCACCCACTGCAATGGACAAATCATCTAAGCAGAAGATCAAAGCAAGAGAATACACATTCTTCTCTAGTGCACATGGAACAGAATAGATCACATCCTGGGTCACAAATCAGGTCTCAACTGGTACCAAAAGATTGAGATCATTTCTTGAATATTTTTAGACCACAATGCTTTGAAACTAGAACTCAATCACAAGAGGAATGTCGGAAAGAACTCAAATACATGGAGGCTAAAGAGCATCCTACTAAAGAATGAATGTGTCAACCAGGATATTAAAGAAGACTTTAAAAAATGCATGGCAACAAATGAAAATGACAACACAACTGTTCAAAATCTTTGGGGTGCAGCAAAGGCAGTCCTAAGAGGAAAGTATTTAGCAATAAAGCCTTTCTCAAAAAACAAGAAAGACCTCAAATACACAACCTAACCCCACACCTAAAGGAGCTGGAGAAAGAACAGCAAATAAAGCCTAAACCCAGCAGGAGAAGAGAAGTAATAAAGATCAGAGCAGCAACCAATGAAATAGAAACCAAAAGAACACTAGAACAGATCAACGAAACTAGGAGCTGGTTCTTTGAAAGAATTAATAAGATTGATAAAACCCTGGCCAGACTTATCAAAAACAAAGAGAAAGGACTCAAATGAATAAAATCATGAATGAAAGAGGAGAGATCACAACCAACACCAAAGAAATACAAACAATTATAAGAACATATTATGAGCAACTAGATGCCAGCAAATTAGATAACCTGGAAGAAATGGATGCATCCCTAGAGAGGTATAAACTACCAAAACTGAACCAGGAAGAAATAGAAAACCTGAACAGACCCATAACCAGTAAGGAAGTTGAAGCAGTTATCAAATATCTCCCAACAAACAAGAGCCCAGGGCCAGATGGCTTCTCAGGGGAATTCTACCAGACATTTAAGGAAGAATTAATACCTATTCTTCTGAAGCTGTTCCAAAGAATAGAAATGGAACTCATTTTATGAGACCAGCATTATACCCTGATCTCAAAACCAGACAAAGACCCCATCAAAAAGGAGAACTACAGGCCAATATCTCTGATGAACATGGATGCAAAAATTCACACCAAAATACTAGCCAGTAGGATCCAACAGTACATTAAAAAGATTATTCATCATGACCAAGTGGGATTTATTCCTGGGCTGCAAGGTTGGTTCAACACCCACAAGTCAATCAATGTGATACACTACATTAATAAAAGAAACAAGAACCATATGATCCTCTCAACAGATGCAAAAAAAAAAAGCATTTGACAAAGTACAGCATCCTTTCTTGATTAAAACTCTTCACAGTGTAGGGACAGAGGGTACACACCTCAATATCATAAAATCCATCTATGAAAAATGCACAGGGAATATCATTCTCAATGGGGGAAAACTGAGAGCTTTTTCCCTAAGGTCAAGAACACAGCAGGGATGTCCGTTATCACCACTGCTATTCAAAATAGTCCTAGAAGTACTAGCCACAGCAGTCAGACAACAGAAAGAAATTAAAGGCATCCGAATTGGTAAAGAAGAAGCGAAACTCTCACTTTTTGCAGATGATATGATACTTTATGTGAAAAACCCAAAAGACTCCACCCCAAAACTGCCAGAATTGATACAGGAATTCAGTAAAGTGGCAGGATATAAAATCAATGCGCAGAAATCAGTTGCATTTCTATACACCAACAATAAGACAGAAAAAAGAGAAATTAAGGAGTCGATCCCATTAACAACTGCACCCAAAACCATAAGATACCTAGGAATAAATCTAACCAAAGAGACAAAGGATCTGTACTCAGAAAACTATAAAATACTCAAGAAGAAATTGAGGAAGACACAAAGAAATGGAAAAACATTCCATGCTCATGGATTGGAAGAACAAATATTGTGAAAATGTCTATGCTACCTAGAGCAATCTACACATTTAATGCAATCCCTATCAAAATACCATTAAGTTTTTTCAAAGAAATGGAACAAATAATCCTAAAATTTGTATGGAAACAGAAAAGACACCAAATAGCCAGAGGAATGTTGAAAAAGAAAAACAAAGCTGGTGGCATCACAATTCCGGACTTCAAGCTCTATTACAAAGCTGTCATCATCAAGACAGTATGGTACTGGCACAAAAACAGACACATAGATCAATGGAACAGGATAGAGAGCCCAGAAATGGACCCTCAACTCTATGGTCAACTCATCTTCAACAAAGCAGGAACGAACGTCCAATGGAAAAAAGACAGTCTCTTCAACAAATGGTGTTGGGAAAATTGGACAGCCACATGCAGAAGAATGAAACTGGACCATTTCCTTACACCACACACAAAAATAGACTCAAAATGGATAAAAGGTATAAATGTGAGACAGGATTCCATCAAAATCCAAAAGGAGAACACAAGCAATAACCTCTTCGATCTCAGCCACAGCAATTTCTTCCTAGAAACATCACCAAAGGCAAGGGAAGCAAGGACAAAAATGAACTATTGGGACTTCATCAAGGTAAAAAGCTCTTGCACAGCAAAGGAAACAGTCAACAAAACCAAAAGACAACCGACAGAATGGGAGAAGATATTTGCAAATGACATATCAGATAAAGGGCTAGTATCCAAAATCTATAAAGAACTTATCAAACTCAAAACCCAAAGAACAAATAATCTAATCAAGAAATGAGCAGAAGACATGAACAGACATTTCTGCAAAGAAGACATCCAAATGGCCAACAGACACATGAAAAAGTGCTCCACATCACTCAGCATCAGGGAAATACAAATCAAAACTTCAATGAGATACCACTTCACACCAGTAAGAATGGCTAAAATTAACAAGTCAGGAAACGACAGATGTTGGCAAAGATACGTAGAAAGGGGAACTCTCCTACACTGTTGGTGGATATGCAAGCTGGTGCAGCCACTCTGGAAAACAGTATGGAGGTCCCTCAAAAAGTTGAAAATAGAGCTACCCTATGACCCAGGAATTGTACAAGTGGGTATTTACCCCAAAGATACAAATGTAACGATCCAAAGGGGCACCTGCACCCCAATGTTTATAACAACAATGTTCACAATAGTCAAACTATGGAAAGATCCTAGATGTCCATCAACAGATGAAAGGATAAAGAAAATGTGGTGTGTGTGTGGGGGTGTGTGTATTATTATGCAGTTGTCAAAAAATTGAAGTCTTGCCATTTGCAACAATGTGGATGGAACTAGAGGGTATTATGCTAAGCAAAATAAGTCAGTGAGAGAAAGACAAGTATCATATGATCTCACTGATATGAGGAATTTAAGAAACAAGACAGAGGATCATAGGGGAAGGGAGGAAAAAATGAAACAAGATGAAACCAGAGAGGGATATGAACCATAAGAGACTCTTAATCTCAGGAAACAAACTGAGAGTTGCTGGAGTGGAGAGGGGTGGGAGAAATGGGGTGTCTGGGTGATGGACATTAGGGAGGGGTATGTACTCTGGTGAGTGCTGTGAATTGGGTAAGACTGATGAATCACAGACCTGTACCCCTGAAACAAATAATACATTATATGTTAATTAAAAAAAAAAGAAAATACAAGCAATCCAATAAAAGACACTCTACCATCATCACTAGTGTATTTTACCACAATCTCATTCTTTTAATTCCCTCATGTATTAGATATTAACTGGTAGTTTATTCATTCAAAAATATTGATTTAGGAGTAAATGTATCCAAGTATTATCTCAATTCTCATTTTTAAGATCATTCATAGAAATGAAGCTTTTCTCATGTTTTCTGTTTGCTAATCTTACAACTTGTACTCATTTCCTTTCCTATCTTAGACCATGTTAGTTCATAAAACAAACATTCTAGTTGGCTTCTGTTAACTAATGTGAGCAGTATTAAAGTGCAGCTATCTTATAGTAAAGTATTTTATCAACTGAGAAATGTGTCTTTTTAAATTTAAAGAATCTGTATCAGAAAAATTAAGGAATACAATGAAGAACTGCTGGGAACACATATAAATAATCCAAGATCATGAAGTACAATCACACTGATGACAAGTAGGGGTGACGTGGAGATCATATCCAACATACACTGTACTAAGGTTCAGGGGCTATGTCTCTCTATCAAGTTATTATTACCATTAATAAGAAGTACATTTGCAGAACATTCTGATTCTTTACAAACACCTCCTTTAATCTTTTCAGTCATACAGAAGGCTGGTGCTTCTGTATACTTACTGTCATTTTGCTCTTGAACTTTGCTTTCATCGGGGACATCTTTGCTTACTTCGTCAAAGGGCAAGGCCTGATCTGCTGGTAGCAGCAAAGTCACAAGTAGCGTTAAGTCCATGTGCACAAAATTTAGGCAGCTTTAGAAAAGCCCAGAGCCTTGGTGTTCCCTCCCTGAGAAAAAGCCACTTGCTCTCCCAGAAGCTTCTCAAAGAAAATCATGATGGTGGTGATCCAGATGCCTGTTTTATCTTCCACCTAGCCTCATCTGACAAGACTCCCAAAGACACACAAAGAAATCCATGTTCTATCCATTTTATGGGTAAACATGGAAAATGCCACAGGATAAGATCAAGAGAATTGCTCTTGGCTCTATTAAGCAATATTTCTCTTCTGCTCCACATAGGCAACCCCCTCTTTCAGCCCTTGCAAATGCAAAAGTCCAACTTCCATATGAAAGCTACAGTGCTAATTGACCAAGAACATCAGATAGCAGGCATGGTCTAGAACAGAGTTTCTAAAATAGATTTTTATATATAAAGTCCTGGAAAGAAGAGTACTCATGGCATTTGTGTCAATTAATAATATGGCATTGATGCCAACTCTTTGCTAAGTGACACTTTTAGTATTTTCCGATCTAGAAATATGAAGTTAGCCTACCTAAGGAATATGTTTTCTAGAAATAGCTAAACAATGATTGTATAAGCAGCACCTCTATAGGTGGAATAAAGTATATAGATAACTGTGCAGTTATTATTTCTAACAACTTTAACCAGAGAAAAGGAATGTAAAGGAAAAAGGACAGGATTATGAAACTCCAAAAAATCTAATATTAAAATTAGGAATCCATGCTGATCGTATTAACCACACAATTTCCTGTGAGATACGACAAAATAGTAATAAATGATACATCATGGCTTCTCTCTCTCCTCTGGAGAATTTTGTGTTTGAAAGAGTCGATCCTAGGCTCTTGCTTGGTGAGTAAAAACTGAAAATGGATTGATTGATTCAGGTTGAAAGGGGTCAAGTGTTAACAGCAGAAAAGAAATGAAGAGAATGGGAAGGTACGTGGGAAATGCAAGACAGGGCTTTGGAGGAGTTTTCAGAGTTGAGAATGGGGTAGCATCCATAGGTTGAGAGAGAGACAAAAAAATGGAAGTGTGGCTTTTAAGACATCAGTCTCAGGAGGCCAATACTATGATACTGACTGTGATTACTGAAACGGTTGTCTGGTTGTTGGTTTGGTTTGGTTTGGGTTTGGGGGTGGTTTTGTGGGGTTTTTTTGCAAATGATATCCCCCTCCTCTACATGTTGTTTTCTAGTTATACTAAATCTGCACTCTGGCATTTGACATCCAGCACATAGTACCATGTCTCCCTTTAGCCACCATTCAGCAACAATTCAGTGCTCCCCATCAGTTCCGTATAGATGCCCCTCCAGCTGTGGTTGTCCAAAGTCATTCTCTAACAAAATCTTAAGGGCTCAGGGAAACAAGTTCTTCAGTAGATTCCTTAGAAAGGGTCATGGGAACAATATTTCCTGAACTCTTGCACACCAACAGTTGTCTTTGTCTTTTACATTTTTGAAGGTCAGTTTTTCTGGATATATAATCTCTGGTTCACATTTTCTTTCTCTGTGGATCTCTGGTATGTTCATCCACTTTCTTCTAGGGAATAGCATTACCATCAAAAAGACTAATGATAATCTACTTTTCTGTCACTTGTTGGTAATATATTGATGTTGCCCAGATACCTAAAGGATTTTCTCTCTTTCTTTAAAGGTCAGTAATTTTTGCCAGAATGTGTCTTACACTAACCATTCTAGGTCAATATTTTCAGGTATGAAGTTATTCTTTCAATAGGTATTTTCAAATTTTTTATGTTGGCAAAATTTTCTCAATTATAATTTTTGTATTTTTTCTTTGCTTTGTTATCTTTTCCCCAGACTCTCATGTATGTGTTGGATCATCTTTGCTGAATATTGATATTTGTAACTTTCTTTTGACTCCTTTTTACCTCTTGTAAATTTCCTTTTACATTTAAATATTTTTCCATCTTTTCTTCATTTGATGTATTTCTTGTTGCTTCTAATTTAATCTTCATTTCTAAAATTATTTTACTTTTAATTATTTATTTTATTCCTAAGTATAATCTTGAATTCTATCATTTCATTTATGAGTTTAATTCTTCTTTATGTTACTCTTGCATGTCTTGTGTAATTTTAATTTCTCTGATTTTTTTTTTAATTTAACCTTCATTTTGGAGCATTTATATTTCTAGCCTATTTTCATTATTGGTGGGGTTGTTATTTTACCCCTTCCTGCCTTTTTTCTCTGTATGGCATTTGACTTCAATACTTTTCTATTGTTCATTTTTATGTGAATATCATTTTCCTAAACTTTTAGAAAGATGGTAATTGCACATACTATTCTGTAAGACACTACCAAATTGTTTTCCAGAGTGACTGCTATTTCACATCCCCATCAGAAATGGACGAATGATCTACCTTCTCCACATCCTTGACAATATTTGGTGTTGTAACTATTTTTTGCATACACATTTTTATAGTTGTGTAGTGTTATCTCATGTGGGTTTAATTTGCACTTCCCTGATGACTAATGATACTGAGTACTTTTCATGTGCTTATTTACCATCTGTATATCCTCTTCCATTCATGTGTTTTACCCATTTTCCAATTTTTTTTTAACTGTGGGGCTTCTAGAGTCCTCTATATTCTAGATACTGGTCCTTTGTTATATATGTGTGGTTTGCAAGTGTTTTCTCCATTCCTGTAGTTTGACTTTTCATCCTCTTAACAGGATCTTCTACAGAGCAAAAGTTTTGAATTTTGATGGGACCCAATTTATTAAGTTTCTTTTTTATGGATTATCTTTCTGTGTCAAGTCTAAGAACTCTTTGACTGACTCCCTTGATCTTGCTCATTCTATGGTTTCATTACATCTCTTTTTTTTTTAAAGAGAGATTGAGAAAGAGAGAGAACATGTGCGAGTGGGGAGGGGAGGGGCAGAGAAAGAGGGAGAAAAAGACTCTTATTAAGCAAGCTCCATGCCCAGTGCAGAGCCCGAAAGAGGGCTCGATCACAGGATCCTGAGATCATGACCTGAGCCAAAATCAAGAGTTGGACACTTAACTGATTGAGCCACCCAGGTGCCCCTGGTTTCATTACATCTTAACTGGATAACTGTGATAGTCTCTCCACTGTAATCTCTCTTGCAACTGAAAATGAGTTCACATCACTCCAAGCTTCCAGATTACAACTAATGAAGCACATGTGCAATCACTGCAAAGCTCTGCTCAAATCTTCACAGATCCCCTCACCCCCCGCACTGAATGTTAAAGCACAGACTCTCCTGCCAAGAACTGTAAACCCCTCAAGCCCCTTTCCCGCTTCTCCCCAAACAACCCCCTAATCCCTAAACATATACCATACAGCCAAACTAACTACTGGCTTATCTCCAACAAGGGTTTATAATTATGGTGGCAGTAGGGATGTAAAGTTCAAGAGTGGGACTTCTGAAGTGATACAGTCCCCCTTCTGCTACTGAAAATATTATCTAATTTATAATGTCCATAATGCCACCACCTTCATGGTACCTTCCCTGATTGACCCCAACTGGCATATGTATCTCCCTTACTTTACTACCCCAAAAGCACTTTGTACCTCTCTTACAGCCCTTAGCTTCTTCTCTAATTTGTACCTCCATCTTACTCATTTTGCAAGATGTCACACCATTCATGAGCAGGAATTGTGACCTCTTCATCTTTGATTCCCCTGGAGGACGTGGTACACAGCAGGGATCACAACTGCTAAAAATGACTGGAACCACCATGAGCATCCCTCAAGTTCAGATTCAAGTTCACTCAGTCCAAGCTCATGGCCTATTGGCCATGTCCACTGTTAAAAACAAAGTAAAGGAGAGGAGGAGCAAGATGGCGGAGGAGTAGGAGACCTAAATTTCATCGGGTCCCAAGAATTCAGCTGGATAGGGATCAAACCATTCTGAACACCTACGAACTCAACAGGAGATCGAAGAATAGCAGCAACTCTCTGAACAGAAAAGCAACCACTTTCTGGAAGGTAGGACATGTGGAGAAGTGAATCCGAGGCGATATTTGGGAGGACAGACGGTGGAGGAGGGGGCCTCCATCGGCCACTTCTGGCAAGTGATAGAGCAGGGAAGCACAAAACTGGAACCTTTAGAAGCTGGTACTGCTGAGGGACGTCGATCCAGTGGCTAAGCGGGGGGTGGAACCCTCGCGGGACAGCAGAGTTACCAGGTATTGGAGAGAGGAAGCCAGCTGCAGAGACAGAGCCGGAGTGGGCTCTCAACTCAGGACTGCCATAAACCGTGATCTGTGGCACAGTCAGGCCACTGCTCCTCCAGCAGGGACCCAACAAGCGGCAGATCCGGGGAGATTCCCCTTCTTCCCCCAGGAGGAGCAGCACAGGAGCTCACTCCAGGGATCTGCTGGGTTTGGAGACTACACACCGGGTCGGGTGCCAGAGATAGAAACCCTCGGTCCAGGCCGGGTGAGCATGGAGTGAGGCCGGAGACCGGAGAGAGGGGAGTGACTGACAGATTTTCTCTGGGGGTGCACTGAGGAGCAGGGCCCCGAGTTCTCGGCTCCTCTGGGGCGGAGATTGGGAGGCCGCCATTTTCACTTTCCGCCTCCAAAGCTGTACGGAAAGCTTGCAGGGAACAAAAGCTCCTGAGAGCAAACCGGAGCAGATTACTTAGCCCAGACCAGCAATGGCGGGGCAATTCCGTCTCCAGCAAAGACATTTGGGAACCACGGCAACAGGCTCCTCCCCCAGAAGGTCAGCGAGAACAGCCAACCAAGACCAAGTTTACCGATCAATGAGAGTGGCAGAGCTCCAGTGCTAGGGGAACACTGCACATGGAATTCATGGTTTTTTTACCATGATTCTTTAGACTTTCAAAGTTAATCTTCCTTTTTTTTAACTTTCGTTTTTTTTTTTTTTGAATTTTTCTTTTTCCCTTTTTCAACCAACATACTATCAATCCCTTTTTAAAAATCTTTTTTATTTTTCAATTTTAAAGTCATTCTATCCCTTCATAGTAGTTAACCTTATTTTTGG